GAGAGAGAGAGAGAGAGAGAGAGACCGACCCTAAGGGCAAAAGAGGAAGGGGCACACATTCTCAGTATCATTTCTCATGATCTGAAAGGAGAAAAATTCTAGAAATCTTAAAAACATTTTCATACATTCTATTGTGAGGCCTAGTTCCAAAATCCTTTGATAGCAAGTAAACTTTATCTGAATGCTTATAGCAACATATATTCCTAACCCTATTTCAAGGAAGCCATGTCTAATTTTATCTCGGCCTTGACCTCACCACTAGTAGTACAGTCAGGGCCCAGCCACCAGACTGGCAGATCCTAAACACTTAGATGCCAGTCAATGGGTATGAAGTCTAGGAGCAAAAGTCATCTCTACCATCAATGAAAACAAAGGCTTTCCCTCTAAAAATAGTCCATATAGAGTCCCATCTGTTTCTTATGTATTTTAGTAATATTTTAATTACTCTTTCACATAATTTGCCAAAAATGTTAGGAAAATATGACAAAAGAAGAGAAAATCTGGTTATTCATTAACCTAAAATAAAAGATCTAAGCCCAAGAAATCATTACTGACACTATGGGAAAGGAACAAAAAGGGGTGGGGGGGGCCAGACAAAGCAAAGCGGACATGCTGGTAGTAAACAGATTGCCTTACTGACAACACTGTTGCATCTAAACACATTTAGTGTGCTCTTATGACTGAACCGCTTCCAGTACTAATCCTCTCTATAAAACACATCATCTCAATCTTTAAAATAGCATTTCATCTTTTTCTCATAGACAAACAGACAACCTGGTATATTTGATGTTTATGAGACTTGAGGAAAACCCTCATGGATGTCTCTTAAAATTCAGACAATTTGAAGAAAAAATTAAATTGAAAGCATTTATATTTTTCTTCCTGGTTTACTTAAAATACATGATCCTTTTGCTAATGTGTGGTTAGGAAATATAAAAATAAAGAAAAAATTAAACAGTAACTTCCACAAACACTTTTGGATTACATCTAACTTTTGATTAACTAAACACACTAATCTTATATAACATCTTTCCACCACAACCACCTCCCCCCAAAAGATAAATTATTTACTTTCAAATAAATGAAGATAAGAGAACTAAAGGGATATTTGGTGACTTCTAAAAAAAAAAAGTAGTTAAATACAAAATTTCAGTTTATTATAACATTCTAAATATTTACTTTTCAGGCACAAATAACAGTAATGTCCTATACAGTATTACTACTAAAGAAATTATTAAATTTTTTAACATTCAAATATAAACTGAAGGTAAAATATTTTAATAGTCAAATCTATTAAAATTTTGCAAATTATAATCAATTATGTAAACATCATATATAAAAGCTTCTTAAAAGTATATAATACATAATTAATCACTGATAACTGGCATTTTTTTCTTTTCTGCACAAATTTTAGGCTCTATGCTTCAAATTCAGATTTGAAAACTGCTTTTTCAATAAAGAAATCCAAAAAAGAAACTGAGCTTTGGTTAACATGTGTGCATTCTTCCAATGGGGGGGGGATACAAGAATTATATTATTCTTTACCATAAACCATTAGCATTTAAAAAGTATGTGATATTTGAGGATCTTTCTTATTCCCAGTCTTTAGAAGAAAAGCACAGGGGGTAAGTCACAGTTTATCCGCTAAGGTATATGCCAAACCACAGAGCATTTAAACATTTCTAAATTCTGAGCTCATTCCTGAAATGTTCTGAAATACTAAAGTTTTATGTTCGAAGCAGTCCTTCATGTTGACTGACATCCCTATGTATACAGGATATGCTAGAGATCAAAACTCTGCGGCATTATGGAAAGAATTCCTGAAGTCGACCTTAGACTATACAGAGAGCTTTCCCCAAAAGAAGGCTTTCATTTTAAAGTCTCAGCCTCCTTTTACAATGCAAAGAGCATCTCCAAGCAAGCCATATCTATGGAAGACATTATCTGATTTTAAAGCTTTATTGATGATGACAAACACTTTAAATAAACATTCTAATATAGTATTTTGTGTCCAAAGTTGTTCCCAAAATACTTCTTCAAAACTGCAAACTGCGTCAACTCATGTTCAGAAGCACTGTGTTCACCTGCCAATCCAACGCCCATAGGTCTCCCCATAAAAATCTGAAATCGAGGTCAACTAGTCATCAAAGACTAGCTAAGGCCTCAATTTTGCATCAAAAGTATTTACAATGTATTATTCCCCAAAGGTTTCTTGAATGTGCCAATAAAAGTGCACAATATTTTGTAAAACTTTTCTCATGTGACAATAGTACTGTTATTTTTTAATTATACTTGTCAACTTGTTAGAAATATGCCCAAAACATCAAAACTTAAAAAAAAAAAAGATTGTAGGAAATGTCCAGGAAAGTATAATTTGCAAAAACAAAAGACAAAGAAAGTAGGTCCTTGTAAGTCATGCTGCTGAACAAAACAGTAAATTATGTAATATTTCAAAATATTCAAGAGAAAATAAGTAATATTTTACATACACAGTTGGTGAGAATGTTACAGCTCACCAATAAAAATAAACCTGAAAACCTGTTTCCAAAGCAGTAGTCCTTTGAATCAGCCTCTGAGATGTGGATCTGTTTGAAAGCAGGCCAAGTTTAAGAACCACAGAATAGTGATATTTCTAGAAACTACTTTTTCCAAAAGGTTTATCCCTAAATTTCTGCTGAACTATCAGTACTTAGCCAGGTACATGAGTTGCCATGATATGCCCCTTCTCAATTACAGGAAGATGCCTGGCATTCTCCTGGTAAAGTTCTTTCACAGTGCACACGGGCAAATGGAGTTTACTCTTTCGTTTAGAGCATTTTTATCACTGTACTTACTGGATCTTTTTATATTTTAAATGAGCAATAAACTACCTCAGTTTTTCTTTCTGAAACTGGTTCTAGAGTGTTATAAATATTCCAGAAAGTTAAATAAATTGTAAATCAACTTTTAAAGACCCTCCCATAAAATAAATGAGCCTTTATTTCCTATTTATTGTACATTTTCTTCACAAACTGCTACACTAAATAAGCGTTTCTCTTAGTGGTGATTCAGAAGGCCAGTGGATACATCAATCAATGCTGCCAAGTGTTTAGGAGGGGGAAAAGGGAAGAAAAAACTTTCCAAATGTGATAAAAACACAAGGGAAGCCAAGTTTTTTTAAATACCTGACTATGCCTGGGGCCTGCATGGACATACAGGTACTCTCCTAAAATGAACAACCCCAAGAACCTAAGTTCCTTTTTCCAGAGCTCACTTACAAGGCACCAATGTACCTGTAAGGGTCCCTTCTCTTCTACTGCAGCACAGCACCCTGGGATTATCCACAAATTCCATGTGTGGCAAACTTTTGTCAGCTAGAATTTCAGCCTTCGAATCTCAGCACTTTCACTGTAGACTATAATTCATTCAAATTATCTTACACTTTGCATCTTATCCATATGCAATTGTGAAGACTGCCAGAAATGGTTGGAAAAGTTTCATTCCATTCTTCCACAAGTTACTAAAATAGGAACTTTGTTAGTTGGGTTTGGGGGGGGCGGGGGGGACTTTCATAATAACTAAAACAACTGCTATCCATTATTAATGCTAGGCCTAAATCCCAAACAGACCATCTTGACAGGAAAGATGCATTTAAGAGTCTTCTGAGACCAAAGAGCCGGTGTTGTTACTGTTAGATACTGCAGTGAGATGTCAAGATGGAAATAAATCCCGAGTCCAGAGAGGAGAGGAAGAGTTACCAATACTTGAGCCTTCCAAAGTATTCCCGTTAAACCGTTATCTGCTGCTAAGTGAAGGCAGGAGTGTAGCAGGTTTAAAGGGGTGAATAAACCTTGCATTTGAAGCACAGAACTTCACGTAGGTGATTAATGGTCAGACTGCTATGTATCAAAGCAGTTTGAAGGTTTGTGCTTTAAAAAAACATTAACGCAAAATCACTTTGACTTCATGCCTTTTAGTCAAAGAAAATAAATAATATATTCAAACGGGACCAGATCTGGAGCCGTGAAATAGCAGGGGTTTTTTGTTGGTGGTGGTGGTTTTTTGTTTGTTTGTTTTTGTTTTTGTTTTTGCTTACGGGTGCTGCAGACTACGGAGGGATGGGCTGGGAGGGCTCGGGCAGGGGGACAGCCGGGCATGGAACCCCACGCTGCGAGTGGGCTCGCAGGGAAAGTTGTCTGGTTCTGCTGCGGCGCCCGAGCCGCCAGAGTCGCGCAGAGGCAGCGAGGGCTGGGGGAGCCGGGTCCGGCCCGGGCCGCCGCTCGGGTTCGCGGTGGAATCCAACTCCGCCCGGAGCGGCCCGGCCCGGCCCGGCTCGCGGCCTCCGCTGCTCGCCGGGGCCCGAAACTTTCACCCGCGGCCGGGAACCGGCAGCAAGGACCGAGGGACCCGGGCCGGCGTGTCCCCACAGCCCGCTGGGCCGTGCCGCCCCCGCATCCGCGGGGCGCTGCCTGCAGGCTGGCACCAAACAAAGTAAGAGTTGGCGGGGGCGCGGGCAGGGCGGGCACAG